TCATCGACAAGAGCGTTTCTTTTATCTATAGCGCCCAGTGCATTGCAAAAGGTGACCAACAAAGAATGGTATGTTATAGATATAATGTCCATTCTACACATGCATCATATCAACAAACTTAAATGATTTCATGAAACAAATTGAGGGGGTGGATGGTCGAATGGTTAGCACGTGCACAGTCTGTCATTGAGTCAACTGGCGTGGTTTTAATTTCCCCCTTGTGCGTGACAAGGAGTAGGGTCGCCTGTCCATCCTCTTGGGTTTTGTCAAGTGGATATTAAAAAATATCTATTTATCTATCTATCTAAATACCTATGACCATCTATTCTGGACTGTTTGGTGGGTATTGTTTTGATGGGGTCATAGATGCCAAATAACACTCGGTATTATGGGACAGCTTTGTGGCTATCTTATCTATATTCAATTCATAATAAAGCGGCTACTGTTACTGACTACCAAATGATTGGCGATCCTATCATTTGTTTATTGTTATCGCCAATATTGTGATCAAAGGTCGTGCAGATTTAGTAACATATAAACAGTTATATCCTAAAGTTTATCCTAAATATTATATTGCCGTCATTAAAGAGCCGATATCAAGTCTAAGTGGTATACACGTTTGAGGGCAGATCAGAAAAAATGTGATGAAGCACTGTGATGGAGATTTGGGGGTCTACTGCCACTATCGACAATTGAAGGGAACCTCACTTGCTTGACGTCTGTTTCGCTTGGTTTCGTTTTGAGTCCATTCGGTGAACATTAAGCCACGGAGTCTTGGGGGCCTTTGACCACACATCCTCTTCTATTGATATATTGAATATTATAATGTAATAAAATATTTTATTTTTAAATCCATTTGATTGTGATGTTTAAATTTAGCAGACATCATGTGATCCAAGTTTGAGTCTGGAGGCCATATGACCGAGCAACTTGACAATATCTGTATGGTATACGCAATGTAAATACGTCTGAATCAAAATGATAATGTTGATAGATACTGATCTTTGATAACCTGCAGTAACTCAGTATGATAAGTAATATTTTCTGGCTACTTCTTATAAATTATGTCGCATTAGCAAGGAGTTCTCAGTATAAAACATGTGCTCCGCGAAGCTTTTGTTCCTGTGAAACGGTGGATGGGGTGATTGATTTGCATCCTCTTGGAAATAAAGATGGGAATCCGAGGTTAGTTTATTTTAATTATATATGTTATCTTATCACTATCCTTTTAATGATATAGAGGTCCACTTGAACCTTGCAGACTGAGTGCACTTAAGAACCCAGTGGGGGCAAGGATAAAAATGCACAGCAAAAAACTTCTAAATTCAACAGCTTAAATCAAATAAAGTCATGTCTTGCGTTGTTCTCCAAATTTAGCTATTTTTTATTTAAAAATTGTATGTTATCTGAGCCACAAAAAGGATAATTCCCAGTGTTTTTACGTTTCTAAAAAAATTAAGCACGATTTTTCCCTTTTCTTCCCGAATTCTAATTCAAAAGTTTAACGTCTGTACCGTTTAAAGTTTTTTGGGTCTAAGAAAAGGAACATAGTCTACAGAAATCATGATACTGTGTGTGTTTTGCTGTGTCATTCAATGCCCTACTTAAAGCAAAACGTGAACACCTAGCTAATTAACTCAATTTTAAAGAAGTGTTTCTGAGCTGTGTGCACATGTAAACCCTGTTGGTTGATTTACTCAAGTTAATCCAAGATTAACTCAACTTTGCTTCACCTTAAACTTAAACTGATCCAATATCATTGTTAATAACAAAGCCCCCTACAACGCTGTAAGATGGGTCAATTGTTTGAAACTCTATACGTCTAGTGTAGGGTTAGGATAAAACTGGGAATTTCCTTTATGATCACAGTTACTCGCCTGTACAATCGAAGTTCAGGGCATATTCTATTGGCCTACTTGTCTGCCACACGTGGAAAGCAACCGTATCCTCCTCAAAACTGGTCGCCACATCCGGCGTATGAGTATGACCCATGCACTCTTTTCGTACTACATATCTTTGAATAGCCCTTGATCGTCTAGTATTGTCTCTGGTTGTATCCGCAATTCTTTAACTGGTTAGGGCGTATCTTTATATGTTTCTTTACCATCTCACGTTATGTATATCTTTTTATCAGTCCTAGTAAACAAGTTGACAGGAACAAAAGTACGGTATCTACAGTTTTATATCAAGCTGGATACATATGTTACAAGCAGAGATTAAAAATAAAGCCATTCTCTCTATCTCGCACTCCTATCCGAACTGATAGAACTTGCTACATCCTCTCCTCTAGAATTTATCTGGTGGTCTAAAGAATCGCTCAAATCTAAAACATTGTATATGCCTTGACTTTTGATATTTATTATTTAATCGGACAAACATTACGTAATTAATTATTATGATTGGTCACTAAGCCTAATGAACACGTGACGATGCCAAATATAGAATGGACATGCCTCATCCATGCATCCCAATATGGGACATATGACAAATGTGTTTATTAACCTAAAGTTCAATGCATGTTTCATATTATCACAGATTTCCGTTTCACGTGTTATTTTACTTGTGTATGAATCTGCACACTATAATTAGTCTAGGCCATGATCTTATCATGCATATCTTTTCTTTTGCAGAAATCCCACCATCCGTATTACTACAATTGTTCGATGTCAACTAAACTATGAATGTATATTCATACTAACTCTCTAGCCGATATCAATACCATCTGCGAACATTTAATTACCCTACTTCAATTTGATTGGTAAATACGGGTCACTGTAGACTACCCTTCCTGTCAAAACCCAATTTAGGGATGCAAACTAACTGGGGGTCGCAGCTTTATCCGATTAGACATTTTATTATTCACTTATTATTATTTTGCTTTTAGATTTACAGGAATTATAGAACCAAAGGGGCTATTTACCTTTTCCTGGAATCCATGTTATAGCTTTAATGAAAAGGCATGTCAAAATCTTTCGGTAAGTTCTGGTCCTAAACTACTGTCAAATGTTATTCCACTGCATTGAGACCCGTAGGGTAGTATTCTTTAAAATAGTTTTCTTATTTAAGATCAAAATGACAAAATAGGCACAATGATCTTTAACTATGGAGGCGGCGAGACAGTGAAGGTAACACTAACAGATATGTATAGTACTGACCACCATACATGATATGTCCGGAGTATACATTTATGCAAGTGGGTTTAAGGATGTAAAATATTTACAATGACCTTTTTTACCTTTCTGAAAATTTTATTTAATAATATTTTACAACTGCGTGACTCATTAAAATCATTTTCGTATTGTTCACGGTTGAAGGGTGAGCTGATAAACACGTCAACCACAGTACTGGACGCGGGCGCTGGGCGCTTAAGGGCAGGGTTATCCAGATACTAGTGTTTGGAAACATCGCGGGTCCTCAAATAGTTTCACGAGACTTTCGTATACATAATTAACCAGTTTTATTTCCTAACATATATGTTGGACTGCTCTTTTAACAATGAGAGCTACCCATCACCAAAAAAAAAGGTCTACACCCACCAATGATTATTTGTCACCGACAATCCAATTTCTTGTCGTCGACATTTCGTCGGTCAAAACATTCAGCGCACAACATGCAGATTTCCCGTCGCAGATTTCTCATCACCGATATTACATTTTCGCCGCTTTCTCGGCGATTGTAGGTCGTGTACGAGAATTCACCAATTGCCTCATGGATACATGACTATGTTTATATTTATACAGTTATTGGTTTACACCCAATTAAATACATGTATAGTGGTACGCAACAACGTCTTAAAACAGTTTCATTCAAAAAGATTTACATTTGGATAAGGATATTTACAATATAAGTTGGGGACATTCAATTGGGCTGTATAATCAAAGGTTATTCATCGGTGTCGAAAAAATCGCCGATGAATAATCATTGGTCTTGGTAAGCCTTTAATAAAATGTTTATAACTCTATTTGTTTGATATATTTTATTAGATTTGCCAGTATGATAAAATACGAGGAGATTCCTTCAATCTTGGTACACACAATTCAATAGAATATTTATCACAAGATGGAGTACTTATAATAGAATATTCAGCTGATACTGATATTCAAAGGTAAATAACAGCATATGAATAAATAACTCTTTTAGATGTACACGTCGCATTTAATGTAATGGTTCTCTTCAAATTATACCTGCAGTCATAGTAGAATCCTGGATAATATTTCATTTTTTGTTTTTTTAATTACTAGACTACATATTGCATTGGATGCTATCATTAACCCCCAGATAGACCTTCCAATTAAAAGCTACGGTACTGAAAATTCTGCGAAAACTTTTAAAGTGCATTGATTATTAAAATATTTGATAGGCTATCCTATCCAGTTCGAACGCATTGTTATGCTATCGACAAAGTAACAAAACACGCACCTCTTAATGTTATTAGGGGTTAATGAACTGACTACCCGATAAGAATGGAACGAAAATAACATCTAATTTTAACTAGATTAAATTCTGGGAAATTCTTGTACTTGTTAAGTACGAAAGAACCCAATCTAAGCTAGCCTAAGGTTATCCTAACCCTAACCTAGAATCACGACAGCAATCACGTGTTCGAACCTTATTTAAATCTCAGCGACCATAACGAAATCTTGAGTTGGCCTTAAGAATTAGATCTAGCTGGTTTAAAGAGAGAAATCTTTGAGACACCATTCTTCTGACTGACGTTAGAAACTCTTCGTAAACATCGTGTACACCGTGACAAACTTATTCGGTTTTTTTCTTCCATGGACTTTAACGACGAATCTTTCTTCGTGTTGAAGATTAATATATACCCTGAACAAATGAACTGCTGTTCAAGGTATTGTGTAACATAATAAAGACCCTTTAATGAGTATCAGGGCCTATTCAGTTGATTTGATAGAATTACTGACAATGTGTACGTGTTTCTGTTATCAGCAGCGCGGATCTCCCTAATCTTTATAATATTAATAAATATTATTATTGACAGGACGTCTGATATAAAGATAGTATGCGACCAAACAGTAGAAGGAAGATTACAGTTTATTTCAGAATCTCCACCAACGTTTTATGTAAGTATAGAAGGTATACTCTAAGACTTGTCACGATCAGAACTAAAGTAAAGTAAACCAATTAATCACGTGACATTTTTCTATGGCCCATGCGTTGTAGATAATAAAATGATGATATTTATGTTGTTATGTGTATAACAACAAAATACTACCATACCTATGATATGATACAAATAAAACACTACCATACCTATAATATTATATACCAATGTAACACTACCATACATACAATATATGATACCAATAAAACACTACCATACATAAATATATCATACCAATATCACACCACCATACTGTAATATGATATCATACCAATAACACGCCACCATACCTATATCATATCAATAACACACCACCATACTGCATCATACCAATAAAACACCACCATATATACCTATAATATGAGATCATACTAATAAAAGACCACCATACCTACAATTATCATACCAATAAAACACCACCATACCTATAGTATGATATCATACCAATAAAACACCACCATGCCTATAGTATGATATCATACCAATAAAACACCACCATACCTATAGTATCGCAATTGATAATTAAATTACCATGAGCAGATAGTTTGAATTTTTTTTTTTTTATTTCTGTTAAAATTTATTATATGTCCCGATATCAGCAATCTGTTTGGATAAAACTGGCTTTTATTCAAGGGTGGACCAAGTAGGTGAGGGCTGGAAATGTGGGTACAGGGTATCAACTTTCGGGTCCATAACAAAATTCAAATGCCTTTCATCCGTGTTAAAACTAAAAAAAAAAAGCATATATTTATTGAATACCTGTCAATGAGAAAGCAAATGTTGCATTTCCGTTGGTGGTCTAGTGGAGTCATATCGTCTTGAAATACCGACCTGGTCGTTTAGCTAATGGTCCTTTATCTTATATTTTGCAATCATAAACAATAAAATATTTTTTCTTTTTAATTTCAGCATTTTGAACTTATTAGTAGATATGGATGCCCTGTGCCAGGATCACAAAGTCTTCACTTTATGCCAGTTGAGAGTCTGATGGAGAATCGAAAAGAAGGGCGGTCGTTGTCTACGCATTTAATACCATCGATGCCATCATCAAACGACAGAACAATCAATACTGTAACATTGATATTTACATGTATTGTGTAAGTATTTGGCAAAGTTACCTCATATCTTTTTCAATTCGTATCATGCATTAAGCAAATAATCAGTGTGTTTAATAGTAGTAAGTACAGCGCCTAATGGCTACTGTCGTGTGTCGTCCCCAAATATCCACATGTTATGCAGACAGAAAATCTGCTATAAATGTATGCATACAAAGAGAATATTTTGTAGGGGTTCAATTGTCTACAGTCTTAAAATTGTGCCAATTTCATTGGATTACATATATTTTGATTTTTGGAATGGCAATCTATCTTTTGTTTTATAAGTAAAGATAGAGCAAATGTCATGATAATCATCACAGTCAGTCAAAATTGAAAGCAAATTTAGTAAACATTCTGACTTCCGCTTAATCGCTCTATATAAAAAATCAATCATTAATCATAAAGATATAACCGATTTTGTGTTTCAATGTTCACAGTACACCAAAATTGAAACTCAAATTAGTAAACATAAGGACTCTCGGTTAGTCTTATACGAATAAACATGTATTCGTATACAGACTACTCTATCAACCCATTCAATACTTTGTTTTTACCTATATCAAAGAGTAGATAAAAAACTAAAAATGATTATAATTATAGGGTAATAGTGATGAATTATAATATGATTATAAGTATATGGTAATAGTGATGAATTATAATATGATTATAATTATATGGTTATAATTATAGGGTAATGGTGATGCTGGTGATACTACTTTTATTAATGGGAATTGGTTTGATGATTTCTAGACATACCAACTTACATCCAGATACAAATATTCTACATAAATTTTATTATCAAAATACGTACCGAAATAGTGATAAATTAGATTGTTATACAAAATAAAGATTATTATTTTATAAGAGATTATATGGTTGAATTACTATTTTATTTCCTTACCGAAATAGTGATAAGTTACAGACTGGGACCGTTATACAAAATTAGACTATTGTAAGAGATTGTACGGTTGAATTCCTTTTTTATTTCCATCGTCTGGAAATAATTGTAGCGTAAAAACTGTCATGCAGTCACAACAAACAAATTATATACAATAATATACCAAAATGTTGATGCAAACCTTGTTATGTGGTTTTACGGCTTCACAACAGTTACAAGTCAAATAAATCAAATATATATATGTGTGTGTGTCTTTATGATCATTTACATTATCCGTTTTTATGAACGTGTCGCCATTTCATTGCTTATAAAACTGTTCCTTCGATAGACGGGTATTCCCTCGAATGTCTTAAACAAATGAGATCTATTCTAGTAGAGATCTGCATCGATTCCAATTGGCAATGTTTACAGGTCATACTAACCACCGACACGAGCGTTCGGCTAATTCTGGATATGGTGTGTAAAATATGCATATCTATAAAATATATTCCCTTGTTGGTCACATATGGCTATATGCTTTGCTGTCTTCGTTTGAATGTGTAATGGGCGAAGTGGTTCGAAGTGGATATCTGTTGTTCCAAAGAATCATATTGATAAACCTCCATTTCATCTACATGTATAGTAATAATAGTACCATATAGTCTTTTGAAATATTTATTGCGACTCGGGACAATCGTGACGACTCGCGACTTGAAAAAGCTTAAGACTCGATTCACGGCGAGGATGCATAACTCTAACTTGTCTTATTCGCCATGAATTGCAAACTCATTTGATGAACTGGCGATTTGAACCGAACACTGGCTTTGTGAAGACTTGGGACTCGACTCGACTTGGTTCTAATGTCAGCGAGTTGGGACTCGCCTCGGACTCGGGATGCGGCAACTTGGGACTCGACTCGGACTCGAGGTTCCGCGACTTGTTCCCACATTTGGCGTTTGATTTCAGCAGATACGCTGATAAATATGCTACTGCAACTAATCAAACAAAATTTCTCGATTCATCCCTGTAGGTAAAATCAGGTGCACTTTATAAGATAACGCCTTGTTTATGATCAAATGTGTATTACATATTTTATTACTAACTACGTAGTAAAACAGACTTTGTATTTTGTAAATGATAATAAAGATTAAGGGGGTGTGGGAACTTGTATGGGCATCTTTTTGAATTAGGTCAACGAGAATATATATTTTTAGATTCCCGAGGTGACGATGGGGTGGGATCGGGGTTTGTCAAACTAGGGGGCTAATGGTATGTTGATCTTTTATAAGCAGTCACCTTACCTTCCCAACAACCGTATTAAAATTACTGGATTGAATCATTACAAGATAACGCGTGGTGTATTCTGGAATTTGATAACGCATGACATGTAATACTTATGTAATAAATATTATGTGCATATTAGATAACAATTATTATCAACTAATATCAAAATGGTTGTTACATGTTCATGGGTGAAGATTTTACTTTTCATGTTATTCTATGTAACTGTTGATGCAGAACACGTAGACGAATGTATTAAATTAACATCATGTTCATGTAGGAATTCAGAAGGTGTCATAGATTTGTCTCCCTTGGCGTCCACTGACTTCACTGCAAAGTAAGTAATCTCGATCTGTTGCTAAATACAATATGGACACAGCTCACAAATTATTTCTAATTAACATAGGAAGGACCAAGGTTAGTTTAATCCTTCTCTCCCTTTCTATTTCCCCCTTATACATGGCGAACTGTTTTTACTATTGGTGTAGAATCGAAAAGGTGGTTTGAAGATACTTCTTCTGCCAGGTTTTGGTGAATATTCATGATTTTGAGGCGGAAAGAAACGAGAGATAAGAGGTTGGTTAAGTTGCAAATTTGCTTGTATGCTACTCAAAGTTTGTGAACCTCATACCTACGTTAGGACAAGATGTGTTGCCACATGCTGCTCCATCTCAATTTGTATCACAGAGGTTGTTCGTGTTTACTCTCTTTAAGGCCTTGTAGCTTATTGATTATCGCTGTGGTTTGTCCACAAATTATCCACAGTTTATCTCCCTTTTAGTATTACAACTTCCGGTGCATTTTCTAGAAAACTTCCTCGTGTAAAAGTTATAAATAAACTGAACTAAACAGTGAAGGTGAACTTTCCTACATGAATTCACCGAGAAAAGCAAATTAAACAAGGACAATTATGATGTGAAGGACACAGTATTCATTTATGCAAGTGACAATACCTGCATTATTATGTTCAGTGAATTTCATATCCATAATTACTTTTTTAGTGTATTTCTCTAAATGTGTAAACTGTGTAGTGTACTAGTGTAGAACTAATTTGAACAAAATTAAACTATACGTCTTGAAATCTCGCTTTTCTCTCACGAATAGAAATATTGCGAAAAGTCTTCTTATGACTGCTTTCAACATGTGACGTCACATCACGGGGCGTCAATCATTGACATAAGATTAAGACGTTATCTGGTCCGGCGGCAGAATAGTGCTTTTACTCATTTTACATACCCATTTACACTAAATGGTTCTATATTTTTAACCTGCATATACTTCAAACACCTTTATTTATTTTTGTAATACTTAAAAAAAAAATTGTTCTAGAATTTAATTTGCAGAAGGAAAAATTTAATATTGGGGATTCATTAAGCCGCACCGATGGCATCCCTACAAGTGATTGTAGCGGCCTAGCGAATATTCACTACTGATCAGTGTGGCTCCATCTGTGGTAGACAGCGTTCAACCCCACGAAGATTTGGGAAATAGTTAGAGTCGGTCTAGGATATGATAATATAATTATTAGTAAATGGGGAAATAATTGGTGATCTGTTGCCATTGATCTGTGTTATGCTGTACAGTAGACGAGTATATCAAGTTATCACCATATTCATAGAGGAATCGAGGAATTCTTTAGGAGGCAGACCACAATTAAATTTCACCATTTCGGTACCCATTCTTCAAAACAAGTCTCGCTATTCAGCGTTCGAATAGTGTGAACTGCAAGGGAAGACAACTCTGCTTGGGTGATTGCTCGGTACTATCTCGGTTTGTAGTTCGTCTAAATATAGCAATTTTCTCTATCCCTTTTCTTAATTTCTGCATGATTTTTTGGACTACAATCGTAGAAGATGGTTGAATAAACATTTACTGCCAGGTTTTGGTTCATGTTAAATATTGGTGTTTTCTTGGTTTGAACATAATTATGTTTATATTAATGTTTTATGTATATTTCTTTCTTTTTAAACTGATGTTGAAAAAGTTTTTTAAGAGCTACTTATATATTAATTGCTGATGTTTTATAGGTTTAAAGATGTTTTAAATGAAGCGGAAAGTTATTATTTTTCTTATAATCCGTGTTATTCATTCACGGAAAGTGGATGTACAGCAGTTTCTGTAAGTTTTCTTTTAATGACATAAACCAGATTATTGACCCACCTCTGGCCCAGATTTTAAAAAATTCTATACAACTTTAGGGTTATTAAAACATGAGTTGGCTTAAACGAAAAAGATAGCAGAATTTGTAGCACTATAAAGATGGCGGTGTGTAATCAATAGGAATAATGTAAACTTTAAATGGCCATAACTAAAGTAAGAATTGATCGATCCGAATGACTGTTAGACCAGAATTTCTTTAATACCAGCCCTTTTGATTTTGTTTTGCCTGGGTTGAAAACTTAAAATAATTAGACTTATTTTATTTAAAATCAACTATAAAATTGTTCATTTTGATGAATTTTATATGTTAATCTGTTTAGTGGGAGGTTAAGATACATTCCGACGAATGTATGTACCGGGTAGTTGTTTCAAATAAAAGTACGACAATTTTGGTATAATAATATTATTTGGAAAGTAGAGACACCAATCTCACTAGAAAATATTTGATTCCCCGAAAAACACCCATGGGCGCGCACAAAACAAAAATGTATGGGTGTCCCTAAACGACAGGCTGTTAGTTTACGTGCCTGCTTAAGTGACGTAATTCGAACTTCTTATGTGTAGGTCTAATGGTTAACAGTTGTGCGGACATTGAGAGAATTAAACGTCCAGTAGACTCTGGACGTTGGCAGAGGATAATCCTGGAATTTACTTAGGAGTCGATATTTATAACGAAAAATACCAGCTGATAATAAATTCTCCATTAATCAAGTCACGAGATAACTAGGGCGATTCAAGTTGATAAGAGTAATTTTGTTTTGATTAAAATGTTTTTATTGAGATTCGAAGTAAACTTTTGATAGATAAAATAGTTTGAATACGTTTTTAGTCCAAATATATCATCAAATCACACGGTTTGTAGGTTGGAAGGCATCTTTAATAATATTACGTCTTTAAAGCCAATGTTAATATATTATTGATCGTATGTTTCGCATGTAGGCACAGTGGGAAAATGAAACTGAAATAAATTTCCACCTAGCCTTTAAAAAAAATTGTACTATCTCTAATGGAAATAATATTCAACTGACGGGACTTTAATAATGGCATATGTAATTGAGCATAGATATCAAAGAATATGGAGAACCTGAAATATAAACATGACGGAAAGAACTTGTACAGCAAGAGGTGGATTTTCGTGGCGCGTATATCTAATCGTGAAAACAGCTATACTGACAAATTGTCATATGGTCAAAAAGAATTTATCTTTTATTACTGTCAAAAATTAAGATAGAGAACTATAGTTTGTTGATTATATAATGATAAAATTAATCTAAATTGAAAAACAATAAAAAATTAAATACACGTGTACACTTTTAATTTTTTTCAGGGATGTGAAACCGATATGACTAATTATTATAGTATAGGAACTCAAGATAGCGCCGCGTTTACAGTAGATGCCACCAATGGACTATATATTGAATATGATGCCACAACAGATGTTAAAAGGTCAGTTGAGAGACAGAGAGAGACAGACAGACAGGCAGACAGACAGAGATATCTTCGTTCACTCAACGCAAATAAAATCATTCCAGTTTCAAAAACCTCGCTTGCACTCGGGGGGAAACACACAAGGTTAGGGTAACAATCATTGGATCGTAATCACACCACTTGACTTAATGACGGACCTTATTACCTAAGGCGACTTATCCCCGCGCACACTCTGTTAAAAGGGAAGACCAGTGATTTTCAACAAGGTTTCCATAAATCTTAAATATATATTCAAATATAATCCCCCTGTAAAACAAGCAAAATGTATTTGTAAGCGAGAAATTAATTTTTATTAAAACCGGAAGTGACGTAGTTGGTTCAACTCTCTCACTGGTCTCTATAGTAAGTTGTCTAGTCGTTCGGATGGCGCATGCCCGTCTTTATTAGCCCAGTCGGATCAGAACAGTAGGACGTTAAACCCCATTTCATTTCATTTCTCTATAGTAAGCATACAGATTTGGCAAAAGTTTACTGTTCTTTTTTGTTACGCGTCGTCCTTTGACCAAACATCTGATCAAATGGGTTGTTTATTAGGATAAATATAAACACAAATTGTTTAGTACACTCATATACTGAACAGTACGCTGTGGCCCAATTCGCGCCACATGGCTAATTGTTTACATCACGTGGTTGGTTTAACAGCTTGCAAGTGACATGTACATCGTCTGCTTCGATGTCTTTGTGTTTGCTGACATTGTTTTTTAACATGTCTTATGGGCACCTGAGACATATAATATAGTGCATTTTGGCACATAATATCGACGTAAACGACCTATCTTTTCTTTTTCTTTCATTTCCTCGATTACAAAAACTTTTTTGCTTGTGTTACAGAGGGGATTATGTATTGTTTAATGGCCGAGAGCGAGACATTAAGTAATATATTGTAACAACATGAGGGCCGTATATTTGAGATTTATGGAAACCTTGTTGAAAATCGTTGCCGTTGGTCTTCCCCTTTAAATGGGAGAAAGAATTTAGTAAATTCTACTAACATAATAAATATAACGCTCTGCCTGGTGGACTTTTCACAAACAACATTTATCCAGTTTCATTTACAAATCTGGGTTAAAAATAATTATGTTTTGTAATATAAGCGTTATATAGGCCTACCCATCGTACAGATTAATCAGAAATGTCAGAATCGTACTCTAACCTGTTTGATGTCTATTGTTATTTTTGTTAGTGATTATCAAAGGTTCACAGTTTTATAATTTTCACATCAAAACTACGACTATTGCATCAATATCTCACTAACATTTATGTGGCATGAAATATATGTAGGGCATTTGCCATTATTTTATGTCGATTTCCGAAAAAAAAACAAAAAAAACTTTTATAGATAGAATGCAGAGAGGTAAACGATTCAGCTGCTTTTATTTTATATTTTTCAGAACATTACGGGTTTATTTAAGATGTGACAAAGGTGAAGAGGGTAAACTGGATGTTAAAGGAGAATTTCCCGCTGGCAGCGCTATTTATGTTAGTATAATTTACTACGTTTCTTCTCCGTCCTCTTAAAACTATATAATACCATATATTAGCCTCACAATAAACCAGTATGTTTTGAGCCGACATTAAATATTTATATCTTTCTATGTACTAATATACTACTTGGTCATTCTATATTTATTGACTTTAAATGTAAATGCTTAAATTGATGTCATTCTAATAAAAGAGATTTATAGACATTAAATTTAAATGCTTTAAATGATGTCACGTTAATAATATTTATTACATAAAACATTTATTTAGTCACTTTAGTTACCTCTTACATTGGTTCAGTGAGTAAGACGTTGGCTCACTAACCAGGAGGTCCCGGGTTCGATCCCTGTATTGTCCGAGAAACTTCATAGGGATTTTACAGAGTGGTTTCCCCTTGACAGTCGTTCCGTGTACACGTAGGTGTGCTCGTAAATTCAGATGCCAGTTGGAATTCATCGAAGAGTATACGGAAACGCCGTATGACGTATACGTAGGATATTAAACCCCATTTTATTTCATTTTTAATTGTTTCATAAAACAAGCGGTTGGCATGCAAGATACGCCCACATTTTGCAAGAGGCATACAATCAGGAATCAGGAATCATAATCCAAGATTTTACAGTCCGACATGTTTTAAGTTTCATCAAAATCAGATAAAAATTGTGACCTCTAGAGGCTCCGCAAGCTAAAAACGCGATTTTTCTTACAACCAGGTGCCATAATCCATGAAGTTAACGTGTGATATGCGCCAATATCGAAAGGAACTGTCATCTTTGGAATATAAACATAAATTTTAGGTTTCATCAACATCGGATAAAAATTGTGACCTCTAGAGGGGCCACAATCTTGGTATTACATACTTTTACACTGTTTGATTACAGAGAGCGGCCATTTTGTTTGGCAGTTTCGGACTGATTTTCACGAAATTCGAACCCAAACAACGGTGATATATTTGAACGGTTTCTAAAATCGAATAAAAATTGTGACCTCCAGAGGGACCACAAGCTAAAAACGCGATTTTTCGTACAACCAAGGGCCATAATACAGGAAGTTACAGTCCGATTTGTGCGAATATTGACGGAACCGAGATCTTGGTTTATAAACATACGGTTTAAGTTTCATCAAAATGGGATAAAAATTGTGACATCACTAGAGGGGGTCACCGCGATACGCCAGTTTCCTAATCCAGTGACAGTTAACGATTATCGGATGGGCCAGTGTCATGGTCTAGTAAACTGTGTTCATCATATGGCATGTGAACTGTGTTCATTATATGGCATGTGAACTGTGTTCATCACATTTATCATGATAATGAGCAATTTATTATTAAAACTTATAGAAGTGCTGAATTCCTGTTCATCATATGAACTGTGTTCATCACATTTATCATGATAATGAGCAATTTGTTATTAAAACTTATATAAGTGGTGAATTCCTTTCAGACGACACTTTATATATATGGAACCATTGTGATCTGTTAGATATCACAAGAAAATGTGAGCGTATATAAATAATTATTATTAATATATGGATATATGGATCATCCAGTTACATTTATTTATTTGTGTGTTTAGGTGATGATTTTAACAAGTATATACAGCTGCACAAAGTCTCCTGGCCCGACTCCACCCCCGTGTAAACATAACCACAGAGAGTGGCTTATTATCATAATACTTTCATGTATAATGTAAGTATATTATATTTAACATTACAATTGTTAACTTGAAATTCAGAAATATATAAGCTGTGACCTTGTACCTCTCAAAGCAAATAGTTAACTCTCTAGAACAAACTTAATAATTTTGTGATTTCAATGAGATATAGGACAAGGAGTACATTTAAAATAAATTGACCCGAACTATCACCCAATCTCTTTGGTAATCACAATAGTTCAAATTAGATTTCATTAAGAACAGACAACTTATACCAAAATTCATAGTATCAAAATTTCAGTTTCGTGGACCAGACTTTTTCGACTGCCATATTTTTTTATTTCTTTTCGCATTCTTTTTTTGTTCATATGTAAGTAATCTTGATTGTCCATAATATCATCAATAATGTATTAGACGTTAAAACCGTAATAAACAAGAATGCAAGATTCATTTCAAGTCGTCACAGCAGAGCGGCAATACTATATACCGGAAAACACCGGAAAACAACCGGAAAACACCATTTTATACTGAATACCGGAAAACACCGGAAAAACACTAAATACCGGAAAACACCCTAAATAGGTAACCCGGAGCCTGGTCCTCTGTGTGCGGTTTTGGACCAAGTGGGCGCCGATGAAGAATGGTCAAGGTCATTACGATGTTCGTTTTACAAATAGCCCCCCACCCCCCAAAAAAAATTCCGATTTTTTTTCTTCAAATTATTTTTGACGAAAAAAATTTTCTGTCACAAAAAAAAAATTGGTTTTACAAGAAAAACATTCCGTAGAAAATAATTTTACAGAGAAAAATACTGGAAAAAATACTGGAATTTTTTTTTTTGAGAGAAATTTGGGAGAAGAAATTGTTAAAAAAAATCTGAAAAGAAATTTTTCTCTGACCGTAGGCGATCGCTCGCTTATATGTTAATGAACTTATTTCATCAGCGCTCACCTGGTCCAAAACCATACACGAGGACCAAACTCCGGGTAATAAATAGCTACCGGAAAACTTAGAAGAGTAAACTGTGCCCGAGATTTTTTTAGAGAGCGCGCCGCGCCGCTCCGGGAGGGATCATCGTCAGGGTGCGACGGGGGTGGAATTGTCCAGTCACGAGACGAACATAGATCTTCTGTTCCTCAACCCATATTATTTCCACAGTCATTGTCATTAATCACAAATTACGGGATGATATACGAAAATGCAGGTTTACTTTGAAATAGTGCAAATGATACTTTTCCATCTACAATCTTCAGACCAAAGGATGCAAGTTCTTACACAGTGCAGCATAATTTGTGCAACAGAAGACATCTCGAATATCGATTGTCTGAAAAAAAACATTTTCTCGGGGACATTTTTTTCCGAATACGCATTCGGTGTAAGTCTTCAGCCACCAGGACGTGGTTAACATAGTACATGTGTAATGTTTTATTACGATAGTAGTACATAAAACAAATTGGTTGCCTGAGGTTCTCGGGGGAAAGTAGCCTCATCGGCTAGAGTCCTCTATTTCACAAACAAAAACAACAATTGCTGCCTTGAAAATTTATCGATCAACCCTTTTCACAGACGTCCAGCTTACCACTTCCCGTCAATGCAGTAAGATAGAATATGTAGTTTTCTCATGGACAATTGGGCGAAAGTTGGGGTTTTCTCAAGGAAAACTGGTCAACAAGTTGGGGAAAAAAGCTCGAAAAGTAATCCAGAAAAAAATCCTGTGTGCGGCCCTCGGAATATGATGGAATATGTTGAATATTATTATGGTTCAAGTGATTATATTTGTTCCTGGAATGAAAGTAAGCTCAGAAACAAGTAGATTTTTAGCCCTTCCAACGAGATGGTTAGCTCTTGGAAAGGATAGACACTTTTCAGATTACAGCCTGTCCGAGAATTGCGTGGCATCCATTTCGTTTGGTGATTAGGACACATAGCGGTTAAACCTGGAACTTCAACTCGAACTATTCAGAGATTTATTAACTCGCTTTTGCTGATACTTGCTGTTTTATGATGCGATTTGTTGTTACCTAGGGAGGAGTTGGCCTAGTCGTACCTTCCACTAATTCGTACCCTCGGAGGGCAGTGTTTAATCTACTGAAATACTGAAACACTGAAATCTACTGAAATTTACTGAAAACTAAAATTAAAATACAAAATAAAATATGGCCAATGATGGAGGTAGACTGATTGCGTCTTTTAAAACATTCAAAACAATAGGTATCAACAAAATTTTGGAGAAAAAAAATCGGATTTTTTTTTTTTTTTTTTTGTCGTGGGGGGGAGGGGCTATTTGTAAAACGAACATCGTAATGACCTTGACCATCCTTCATCGGGGCTCACTTGATCCAAAACCGCACACAGAGGACCAGGCTCCGGGTTACCTATTTAAGATGTTTTCCGGTATTTAGTGTTTTTCCGGTGTTTTCCGGTATTCAGTATAAAATGGTGTTTTCCGGTTGTTTTCCGGTTGTTTTTACGGTGTTTTCCGGTATATAGTATGGCCCACAGCAGAGCTGTATATAGAGATGATTCTCTCCGTCCTTACATTTCCTTCTTTATTTGGACAGATGTTACCAAGTCATGTTACCGCGTTCCATAATTAAAGTAATTAAATGTTTATATATTTACAGGTTATCATTGTTGGTGTTGATTATCATCTGTCTACAAATAAGGAATAACAGAAACACGTCATTTACAACAGCAATTCCTAATCCAAAAGTCTCTGAAAAGAAATCATACGGGACTCTTAATTAAGCAAAATCAAGCACTGTTTTAATCTATAAGATTTGAAATTGGGTATAACGCCCCACTGTTAATCAATAAGAGAATTACTAAATAGAAATCAGGCCAGATTTATATAGTGTGCAAAAATGCCGGATGAGGCTTTGATTGTAAATTCATAACATTTATTTAATTTTTCCAAGCAGATGTGTTCCTTTTTTCATTCATAACTTTACGTCGATCAGCCCTCTGCTATTAAGAAATAAAGCCCCGAACATTACTGTGTTATTGACAGAATTGCAATCGAGTAACGCGGAATTCAGTTCTGTCACAGTTCTGTCAGTCCCGACAACATATATATATATATTAGTAAGTGCAGGGGGACTGCACCACACAAAATTTACTGATGATATACTCTGATCCTGGTGTTGGTCAAGAAACTTCCCCGGAATTTTGCAGCGTGGTTTCACCCTGTCGGTAGTGCAGGACAAAGGGTCTGGCAAAGTAGCCCACATTGTCTAGTTGTGTAGATGGGACAAAAAACAAGCTCCCGTGTACACATTGGCGTGCACATAAAATAATCCTTGACAGTTGAATTTCGATGAAGAAATGCCACGGTCCATTGAAAATTTCCGTCACAACACTCTGCATGGCGTATGCCCATCTTCAATAGCCCGATTGGTGCAGGAAAGTAGGAAAATTGATAACGTGTATTCGTTCGGGTGGGACGAAAAACCGAGGTCCCATTTACATATTGACCTGCACGTAAAAGACCCCTTACAGTTGGAATTCAATATAAGAGTAGACCGTAGCGCCCCTATCCAGGTAAAGTTTCCCTCATAGTACACCGTATAGGGTATGTCAGTCTTCATTAGCCCAGTCGGAGCCGACCGAAATGAAATGGAGTTTAACATCCTACTGTTTTGCTCCGACTGGGCCAACAATGACGGGCTTGCGCCATTCAGTGTGTTATGAGGGACATTTTGCCCGGACAGCGGCGCTACGGCCTACTCTTATTTTGAATTGCCAAGGGCTCTTTTTGTACACGCCAATGTATGCACGGGACCTCGGTTTTTTGTACCATCCGAACGACTAGACAGTTGTCCTTGTCAGGCCCTCCTGCACTCGTGACAAGGGGAAACCACGTCGGGAGCGAACCCGCGACTTCCAGCGCCTTACTCACTTAGTCACTGTGGCTCCCGGAGCAGAACAATTGGACGTTAAATCTCATTTCATTTCCTACTTTTCCGAACCAATCGGACTATTGAGGATAGCCATACACTATGCAGAGTGATATGACGGAAATTTTCAATGGACCGTGGCATTTCTTCATCGAAATTCAACTATGAAGGATTCTGTTATGCGCACGCCAATGTGTCCCATCTACAATACTAGACATTGTTCTTTGCCAGGCTCTTTGTCCTGCACTACTGACATGGAGAAACAACGCTGCAAAATCCCGGGACATAATCATAGTATTGAGAGGAATTAGTCTGGTCGAGGTAGAAAATTTGTGGGAAAAAATTCCTACCCAAATGATTTCTTCATTTTCTGAAACAACTATGTCCCTAGTGTTCCAGAAAAATTTTCCCCGCCGACCGGAGTTGAGCAAAATTTTTTACAGCATTTTGAAATTTTGACCCCCTGGGTCAACATAATGAAACTGAAAACCATTTATAACTTCAAAAATATCAATTTTACAGCCTAGAAATGTATTATCAACATATAGGAAAGTGATACCAAGGATTCCAGAAATGATGTAAAAAGTAATGTACGACGTCACCGTGACGTCAGAATACAAAATGGCGGAACTGTGACGTCACTGTGATGTCAAAATTCAAATAAAAAAATTTGAATAAAAAGCCTGGCGGTACGGAGAAAGCTTGACACGCCTAGCTTCCATGAAATATGAAATACATAAGTGTTTAGATAACCGATGGTATATTAATAAGTCACGCGTTACAATTACGTATCACGTTTCCCCAGTAAATATTAAAGATGCATTACGTAAGACCTAATTCTCCCCATTATAGGTTTTCATTTTGGCTTTAAATGTTATATAATTACTATTCAGACATTTATTTACATGAAAAGCCTATAATCAACTCTCTAGCTCACCGGGTGGCGCAGATGAACAAATGGATTAAAATACGATTGCCATTTAATGATATAATTCAAAAATGGGGTAGCAAGACTGGGTCTCGATTAACAAGTAACGTTGCTAGGATAATGAAGACTTAAATGTTGAAAAATAAGAATATGTTAGATATATATATATATAAAATGAAATGAAATGAAATGGGGTTTAACGTCTTACTCTTCTGCTCCTAACCTGGGCTAATGAAGACGGGCATACGCCATACAGTGTGCTATGAGGGAAATTTTGCCCGGACAGCGGCACTACGGCCTACTCTTATATCGAATTCCAACTGCCAAGGGATCTTTTACGTGCACGCCAATGTGTACACGGGACCTCGGTTTTTCGTCCCATCCGAACGACTAGACAGCTTTCCTTGTCATATATATATATATAAACAGGATTACAATTTTAAATGGCACTTTTACTATAGATGCATTAATATATGCACATTTATTAGATAAAGTGCTGTTAGTTCTTACTATAATAGTTAAGAACTAGATAATGTAAAGGAAATTTGCTGAAATTTCAGTCAACTTGAATTAATCAGAAGCAGCAGACCGGGTTCTAATCCAGTAAATATCACAGGCTAGCGATGACATCGAGCGTTGATTATGGTCAAGCCAAGTGATCTAAATACCGACTTTATCGTCTTGATAACCTTAAACATCATTTACTCAAATTATATTTGAACCAAGATTTCTATAAATTAGTGTAGTAGGAAGTGATTCAGGTTGTCGAAATGGATTATTATTATCTTTATATATGTTTGGTTGGTTGGGTGCAAGATGGAGGGCCATAGATTGTGAATGATCCAAGTATACATGGATTAATAATTCAGAAAGTCATAATAGAATTTCGCTTATGAAAATATTTAGATCAGTAAATGTTATTTTAAATATTAAAGTCTTAGTACGATTGAAATTTAAGCTCCAAAATATAGAGGAATGGTGTGTTTACCTTGTCTCAAACATTCAGCTCACAATATTTAGTCGTTTGGACGTGAACTTCACAAATGCTTATCCGGACACGTAACCCTTTTAAGATTTCTGGTCATTTTTTCGTTGGGTGACCTGATAATCGATTCCCATTCCTTTAGATGTCTATACAATGAATGACCCATGTGCTGTACTTGATAACCGAAGGTAAATTTCACCTACACAGTATTTTTATAAAGTAAAGGTCTGGTTTATCCATAAGCCACATAATAGAGTTTGGGACACCGGTCTCCATTTCCAGATGAAGACTGACAGGTTAAATTGTCTGAAAACGTATCACAAATATTGAGTTAGTTGCTCGGCCCTTTGGTGGAGGATTTTAGGGGACTTTAACACAAAATTAAGCAGTTTTATTCTCCTACATATTATTGGGATTGGCCCTTTAACATATTTCGAGGAATAGACACATAGGGGATTAACTTAATTTACTTGAAATTTGGACTTTTAAGCCCTCCAGATAATATACTTGGTGTTCTGTTTCATTGTGTAATATTTTATGTCAGGACAGGTTTGATATGTATAGGAGAGATTCACGTAACTGTTATTTAAATTTGAATTATATTATATTTCACTAAAGTAAATATATCTAGTTAAACAGGCTTGCAATTTCCGAGAAATGTCCCTCTTGTGTAAAAGTTCGTGTCCGGGTAATATTTTATGTCAGGACAGGTTTGATATGTATAGGAGAGATTCACGTAACTGTTATTTAAATTTGAATTATATTATATTTCACTAAAGTAAATATATCTAGTTAAACAGGCTTGCAATTTCCGAGAAATGTCCCTCTTGTGTAAAAGTTCGTGTCCGGGTATCTTGAACGAAACTATTATTTATTTAAACTAAATTATATTATATTTCACTATTGTTAATTCTTTTATATATTGTATTGTCCTTCTTGATCAACGAATCCGTATTTTATTTTTTTATCAAAACTGTATCCATTATTGGTTATATATCATAACAAGATTATATATTGAAATATTGTTTTAACTTATGTTATATAATTTAATTTTATTTTATTTAAATTTCAACATTCAGAAACAAACATAATACGAATCAATATGCCTATATACAGGCACAGATTAAGATTAAAACAAACAAAAAACTAGTCGGGGGGCAGGGGGGACCCTATCGAAATTCAAACGCCATACAGTGTTCTATGAAGAAAAAATTTCCCGGACAGCCGCCCACAGGCCTACTCTTATATTTAATTCAAACTGTCAGGGTTCTTAAACGTGCGCGCAAATGTGTCCACTAGTAACTCACTTTTTTTATTTTTTTTTTATCAAAATTGAGTTAGGACCAAATTTGTAGTTACTAATGTGTGTGCTTCCTGTTGTTGTACTAGATATTCCAATCTTTTCATTTTGTAAGCAGTTACACTCATGGCACAACCTAGCAACTTCCTTCATTTCCCTAGTATGCCACAGTAAAACCTAGTAACTCAATTGTCCAATCAGATTGCTTGAAACAAAGATGGCAGCCCCCGTTGTTTCAATTTATTATTAGAATATGTTTAGTTTTCTTTGAATATACATAAATTACATTATGTTTTCGACAAATCGGGGGAGGAAGTTAGTACAACTGGCCTTGGAAAATGCAAAATAAGTATTTTTTAAGACCCTATTTATTTATAGTGAGAATCAATAGACTGCTTGGGTCCTGGCTTAGGCCTAGAAAAGTAGAACGTGGTCTATGCATGGCTGATAAATAATTGAATGCAGTGCCCAATACATGACAATGTGCATGCAGAAGGTGACAGGTCTGTGCTATGACACATAACCAGCCGGTTTATGTATGGTGTAGGCCCTGCATGTTTGTTTGTTATGGGAAAGGCCTCGATATAGGCCTAAAGCCTTTTGTTTATCTACTAAGTTATCTTGGTTGGTGTATAAACTGCCTATCTTCTCTAGCGTATATTCAGTCTTGGTACTATATAAAGAGAATACCCTTTGACATATAATAATGTTTTTGATCCCCACCTTTCTTTTCACCCGCCAGTCTGTCCGATCAAATGTACGGTGGAAAGTTTGGGACACAATAACTCTTTATTCACAACACGTCTCCGCCATTTTGAATTTTGACATCACAGTGACGTCACAGTTCCGCCATTTTGTATTCTGACGTCACGGTGACGTCGTACATTACTTTTTACATCATTTCTGGAATCCTTGGTATCACTTTCCTATATGTTGATAATACATTTCTAGGCTGTAAAATTGATATTTTTGAAGTTATAGATGGTTTTCAGTTTCATTATGTTGACCCAGAGGGTCAAAATTTCAAAATGCTGTAAATAAATTTGCTCAACTCCGGTCGGCGGGGAAAATTTTTCTGGAACACTAGGGACATAGTTGTTTCAGAAAATGAAGAAATCATTTGGGTAGGAATTTCTTCCCACAAAGCTGGATTTGTCACCTTCTCCAACCAGCCTAAATATGGCCGATAACCCGACACCACGACAACCCGACATGACGACACCCCGACATCACGACATGACGACATTTTAACCCGTCAATACGACATTTTTACGAGACATTGCGACATAACGACATGTTTAGAGGAACCAGGCGCTTGGAAGACTCGACGCTGGCCACACTTTCCAAGCCGTTGCCCCCGTCTTCATAATTAGCCCAGTTTAGGAGCAGAATAGTAGGACGTTAAACCCCATTTCATTTCCAAGCCGTTGCCAATCACTTCCAGGTCAATGTTCGCACCATCTACAGGCTTCAGCAAACGCTTTCGGGCCACCAAAACCACGGATGGTCGCTCCCGAACTGGTAGATCAAGGGTTACAAGGCGACAAGACCGCCATGTTGTGCGACAGCACATGCAGAATCCCTTCACACAGGCATCTGAGACAGCACACAGACAGTGGGAACACACGGAAGACCCATCAATACCGATACATTGCGATGACGTCTCACCAGAGAGAACATCCATTGCCGTAGACCTTACCGTGGACCGATCCTCACCCCTTGCCATCGACGTGAACGTCTACAGATTGCCCAACAACACCAGAACTGGCGACACAGGCAATGGAGAACTGTTCTGTTCACAGATGAGAGTCGGTATTGCGTATCAACTGCAGATGGCAGGACCATGGCGTCGACGTGGTCAGCGTTATTCTGACCTATGTGTCATGGAACGAGACTCATGGGGAGGTTTATGCATAATGGTTTGGGGTGGAATTGGCTTGAACCAGAGAGTGGGTCCTGTGGTGTTCCAAAATCTTGGTCAAGGGAGAGGAGGCGGCATCACAGCAGTGCGCTACATCGATCAAGGTCATCAAAACAACGTTTTCCAGAATGACAACACCCGTGCCCACACCGCCAGAGTTACTCGGGACTTTCTACAGCAGAACGGTGTCAACCTTGTGCACTGGCCAGCCCTTAGTCCGGACTTAAACCCGATTGAACATCTTTGGGATGAAATTCAGAGTAGACTTAATAACGTCGCACCGAGACCAAACACAGTCGATTTATTGCGCCAGGCTTTTCTGAGAGTGTGGTTCCAGGTGCCAATGGCGTTCGTCAATCGTCTGGTCCACTCCATGTACAGACGCTGCGCTGCTGTTATTGACACTCGTGGTGGGCACACCAGATACCGATGTATAGACTGTGTACCTTCTCGTAATGTCTTGGAATTGTGATGAATTAATCACTAATTTTCTCAACATACTGTTCACAAAAAATTGCTTTGATCCATTTAGTAAGTCGTTTTCTAGAATGATTTGATTAATGTGCCTTTCTGATTTTGAAATCGTACTGACGTTTTTTTTTTCGCTATGCAGTAGTATTTGTACAGCCTTATGTTAAAGAAATTACATATTTTTCACTGAAATTTTAAAAATTAAATGAGCAAAGAGATAAATGAACATGTATTTAATGAATGTTACTTATATATTTTGGGATTGAGGCGGAGAACATCGACCTCACAATTAATTTTTTATTTATTTATATTTGTTCTGTTTTATCAGATATCATTTCAAGTTATCTGTTCATCTAATAAACAATTATCTTTCTAAATATTTTGTATTGATTTAAAATTCAGCGCATACCAAATGTATCAATCATGTGATTATTGATAATAATATAAGTAGCTGAGTGTATTATGATTATGCCGCTACATTCATACTTACAATTGAATATCTAAAGTTAATTATACCCTACCCAGCGGCCCAGCCCCCACAAATAGCTGAAATATCTAATCGGCTAGAATTGCAGTTATGAATTTTATCAGGATGGAACTGGGACTCCAGGAAACACACATTTAAATGATGAAAAACAAAACCGATATTACATTGTAATAGTATTATAATGACTATATTATTAAGTTGTCCCGACATTCTAAATTTCATGCTTTTCATTTTAATTTACCTGGACACCCGCGCCGCTCCATTATCGTAACAATCGAAGCTATGACAATCGAGGCTCTGCTACTCTATGTAAAATAAATGTTCACAAAGGTATGTAAAACTGCACCAATTCACTTAATATGATAGGTACCACTATATCGTATATATACTCTTCAAGAAAAGTAAGGGATATACAGAAACAATACAAAACTGCGAAAATGCACTGCTGATTTTATTAGAGGTAACAAGTGTATGTTAATAACAGGCCAATTGCCTACACATGAACATAAACAGTTCATACGGGCGGCTTATCTGACGACCCCATTTCACTCGCAAAGAGAAATGAAATGGGGTTTAACGTCCTACTGTTCTGCTCCTAACCTGGTTTAATGAAGACGGCACTCGCAAAGAGAGATTCACTGTCAAAAGTGAAAATGGACGTTTTTGATTTTTGTCTTAATAATGAGTAATTGCTCCGCCAATCCTCAGACATTCAGCAATTTGTCGTGGCAAGTCCCAGACAGGACTCATGGCTGGCCAAGGATGGGGGCACGGATATTATCATCTTGAAAGATGAAACGTCGACCTGCACGTTGAGCAAAGGGCAGAACTATCGGTGCCAGGATGTGGTCATGGTGATTCCTCCCCACACCATAACAGACCCACGCCCGAATCTGTCATGCTGTCTCACGTTCACGCCTATCGGTGAAATCCAGAGTAAATCTGGACTCATCTGAGAGCATTACACGCGCCCATCGACGATTACCCCAATTTCTACGCTGCCTACACCATTGACGCCTGTTTGCCATGTGCTGGTGAGTTAATGGAGGCACAACACGTGGTCGTCGCGCATGCAAATGGGCTGCATGTAGCCGATTTCTAATCGTTTGGGGTGTAACGCCAATTCCTGTAACAGAAGGCTGATTGGCCGTTTGTCCTCGATTTCGCAGGACCTGTGTAGAATGTATCGATCCTGGGCTTGTGTAAATCTTATGCAAGAACCGATAGGAAAGCAAACATGGATAGGATAAGCCAGCACGCGGCAGTTTTCATCAACCCTTCCTTGAAGTGTCAAATTTGACAATGAACCCCTCCCAGGCTCCCACGTGTATGGCGCTATTGCGTGTCGCACTTGCAGCTCAGTGGTTCTGTTGGGGCGATAAGTTATTCATCTGTGAACATACTATCAGACTATTTATCATATCACAGCCTGTATAGGTATTTGCATTTCAATATCCCCTACTTTATTAAGAATATATATATATATATCCAGAAATATTAGCACAACCGTAAAAGCTGCACTACTTTGTTTCACGGTAAACGATGAAAAGATAAAAGGCATGTCGACACAAACTGATTTCAACACTGGTTTAATAACATTTTATCCGACCGTTATCACCATCATGTTAAAATGTAATCATAATACATTATCATTATACATCTATATATCTACATGTGACCGACTAGAGATAATAGACCATTCACGTAACTATAATTCTCTGGTTCAAGATGGTGTTGAGTAATTCAAAGTCTCTGTTTTTTCTCCTCACTGTTTTTATTCTATGTATGAAAATTTCGATTATAGGAGCAGTTGATGCATGTGTTAAAATCTCAGCATGTTCTTGCCAAAATTCTGAGGGTACTATAGATTTAACTCCACTTTCCGGAAGTCCGAAGTAAGTAAACTAACTATTGCATATAAATTTTGTCCTCCACCCACCTCCCTGAAAACTACATGTAGTATAATTGTACGGATTGGTCCATAAGCAGATAGCCCGGTTCATGGTCAAAATTTGGGTTGGGGTTGGGGTTCTAACTCGGGCATCTTATATCATAAGGTCTGTTATTGAGTCAAGTGGCGTGGCTTCGATCCCAAACTTGCATGCGACCAGGCTAGGGTCATCTGCCTAACCTCATGGTTTTCTCTGTTAAAGATCCCTTCGCACAAGCGAATTATTAAAATAAAATCGTACAGTATGTTAGGCCCGAAATGACCTACTTAATGTTGAGTGATATTACACCCCATTTCTCTGTCTGAGATAGCTACACTACAGAGAATTAAAAAAAAAAGATTTTGAAAAAAAAAAGAAAAAGAAATGAAGGTCTGATTTGCGCTTATTTTGTTTTGGAAAAGAGATCCTCATTTGTCACAGATGTTTCATATGTTTAAATAAGATGACATCTATATTTGTATCATTGATGTTTTATAGGTTTAAAAAAGATAATATGTATATTTGTATCATTGATGTTTTATAGGTTTAAAAAAGATAATATGTATATTTGTATCATTGATGTTTTATAGGTTTAAAGATATACAAGATGACGCTGGAAGTTATTATTTTTCTTATAATCCATGTCAGGAATTCACTGAAAGTGGATGTACATCTGTTTCTGTAAGTTTATTACAATATAAGTCATTGTAACTTAATGGAATCTGATCTGACAATTTGGGAAAGATGGAAAATAGAAAGATAATATTAAACTGTTGTAAAAATGATTAATTTTCAGGGATGTCAAACCGATATGACCAATTATTATAGTATAGGAACTCAAGATAGCGCAGCGTTTAAAGTAGATGCCACCAATGGACTATATATTGAATATGATGCCACAACAGATGTTAAAAGGTAGGTAATATTAGGTCCTACACTTACGTAACGTCTAACAAGTTGGATACACATGTAAACTGGGTTTAATATCAACCCTGTTAAATATAGAATGGTTTAACATCTACTGGTTTAATGTCGGTCGTGTTAAACTAAGACTGGTGTAATGTCTATTCTGTTAACATTCTCCAGTGACAGGGTACTGTTAATACTTGGCTAGGCATAGATATGTTATACTACCCTTCCAAATTACCAGTTATCCACACAGGAGAGCATGACACGCTCCGAGAAAAAAAACCTGTTTTAGTATCATATCATGCCTTCTTTTTCAGAACATTACAGGTCTATTTAAAATGTGACACAACAGAAGAGGGCCAACTTGATGTTAAAGGAGAATTTCCCGCTGGCAGCGCTATATATGTTAGTATAATTTACTGCGTTTCTTCCCCGTCATCTTAAAACTATATAATACCATACATTAGTCTCAAAATAACCTAGTGTGTTTTGGGCGGACATTAAATATCTCTATATGTACTAATATACTTGGTCATTCTATATTTATAGACATTAAATTTAAATGCCTTAAATTATGTCACGTTAATAATATTTATTACATAAAACATTTATTTAGTCACTTTATTTACCTCTTACATTGGTTCAGTGAGTAAGACGTTGGCTCACTAACCAGGAGGTCCCGGGTTCGATCCCTGTGTTGTCCGAGAAACTTCATAGGGATTTTACAGAGTGGTTTCCCCTTGACAGTGCTCCCGTAGGTGTGCTCGTAAATTCTGATGGCAGATGGAATTCAACGAAAAGTAGACGAAAATGCCGATCTGTTCAGACAACATTTTCCTCATGACACACCATATGACGTATATGTAGGACATCTAACCCCTTTCATTTCATTTTTATGCGCCCGTCCGTCTGGACGCCAGTCCGTTCGTCCGTCCACAATTTGACGTCTCGATTCCTTTCGATATTGGCATGTATCCGATCTAAACTGATTCTGGCTCCTGATTGTACAAAAAATCACGTTTTTAGCTCGTGGACACACTAGAGGTCACAATTTTCATCTGATTTTGAGGAAACTTGAAATGCATGTTTATAAGCCAAAGATCTTGGTTCCGTCCGATATTCGCGCACATCGGATCGTAACTTACTGAATTATGGCCCTTGATTTTACGAAAAATCGCGTTTTTAGCTTGTGGTCCCTCTAGAGGTCACAATTTTTATCAGATTTAAAAAAAAACGTTTGAATATATCACCGTTACACGCTAATGATGGCTTGTGGTCCCTCTAGAGGTCACAATTTTTATCCGATTTAAAAAAAAAACGAAAACGTTTGAATATACCACCGTTACACCCTAATGATGGCTGAGTTCGAATTTCGTGAAAATGGAACCGAAACTGCCGGACAAACTGGCCGCCCCTCCTACGCAAATAGTGTAAATATATGGTATATCAAGGTTGTGGATCCTCTAGAAGTCACAATTTTGATCCGATTTTGATGACACTTGACATGACTTTATACCCAAATGATCTTGGTTCCTTTCGATATTCGCGCATATCGCATCGTAACTTCCTGAATTATTGCCCTTGATTGTACGAAAAATCACTTTTATTTTAGCTTGTTCTCTGTCCATCTCTTGCAAAATGTGGGTGTATCTTGCCTGGCAGCCGCTGGTTAATTGTTTCATAAAAAATGATTATTATTAATATATGGATCATCCATATTATTATTTTTTTATGTTTAGGAGATGAATTTAACAAGTAAATACTGCTGCCCGACTCCTGGCCCGTCTCCAGTCCCGACTCCAGCCCCGACTCCAGTCCCGACTCCAGCCCCGACTCCAGTCCCGACTCCAGTCCCGTGTAAACACAGCCACAGAGAGTGGATTATTATCATAATACTTTCATGTATAATGTAGGTACATTATATTTAACACTTAAAATGTTAACCTGAAATTCAGAAATTTATAAGCTGTGGTCGTGTATCTCTCAACGCAAAAATAGATAACTCCCCAGAACACAAATAATTTCCCAATGATACATAGGACAAGGAGTACATTTAAAATAATTCTTGGTTCAATTGGCCCGAACTAACACCCAGCCAAGGAGGGCACGCCTACCCTAGGGTAATAATCATTTTTGCCAATCATAATGAACCGACAACTTACACCGAAATTCATAGATATACTAAGCAGCAAAAGAAACGTCATGTTGGTATGTAGTAGTAATTATAGGAAATCATTGAAAATCACTGGGCTTCTTCGTCTCACGGCCTTAAACAATGTGTATAAATTTCAAGCCAATCGGATATTAACTTTAGCCTCTAGAGCGTCAACAAGATTTTTCAAAGTGATCAAGGGCTATAACTCTGGCAGTAATTATCAATAGGCTTCTTCGTCTCATGGCCTTAAACACTGTGATAAATTTCAAGTCAATCGGATATTAACTTTACTCTCTATAGCGCCGACGGGGGCGACAACAATATACGACCACATTTCAATGTGGGCGTTAAAAAACGCAACCTGACTTCTGGGATGGTAATGTGTTCTCCATGATTTTCATGTAACTCATGCTGCACATGCTGTTCACCGGGACCAGCCCTATAAAATGCACCCTCTCCCCGAATACCTGGTTGAATCATTCATACTACAACGTCAGCAGCATGCTACGACTCACGATAGCTCACAGGAACCAGGCGTTTGGAAGACTCGACGTTGCCAATCACTTCCAGGTCAATGCTCGGACCATCTTCACCAACGCTTTCGGGCCACCAACACCACGGATGATCGCCCCCGAACTGGTAGACCAAGGGTTACCGCAAGGCGACAAGACCACCATGTTGTGCGACAGCACATGCAGAATCCCTTTACACAGGCATCTGAGACAGCACACAGACAGTGGGAACACACGGAAGAAATGAAATGAAATGCCGACATCTCACCAGAGAGAATACCCATTGCCGTAGACCTTACTATGGACCGATCCTCACCCCTCGCCATCGACGCGAACGTCTACAATATGCCCAAAAGCACCAGAACTCGCGACACAGGCAATGGAGAACTGTTCTGTTCACAGATGAGAGTCGATGTTGCGTATCAACTGCAGATGGCATGACTAGAATATGGCGTCGACGTGGCCAGCGATATTCTGACCAATGTGTCATGGAACGAGGCTCATGGGGAGGTCCAAGCAAAATGGTTTTGGGACTGGAATCGGCCTGAACCAGAGAGTGGGTCATGTGGTGTTCCAAAATCTTGTTCCAGGGAGAGGAGGCGGCATCAAAGCAGTGCGCTACATCGATCAAGCTCTCAGATCGCACGTCATACCACATTTCGCACGTCATTGAAACAACGTTTTCCAGCATGACAACGACCGTGCCTACACCGCCAGAGTTACTTGGGACTTTCTACAGCAGAACGATGTCAACATTATGCACTGGCCAGCCCTTAGTCCGGACTTAAACCCGATTGAACATCTTTGGGATGAAATTCAGAGTAGACTTAATAACGTCGCACCGAGACCAAACACAGTCGATTTATTGCGCCAGGCTTTTCTGAGAGTGTGGTTCCAGGTGCCAATGGCGTTCGTCAATCGTCTGGTCCACTCCATGTACAGACGCTGCGCTGCTGTTATTGACACTGTGTACAGACTCTAAACCTTCTCGTAATGTCTTGGAATTGTGATGAATTAATCACTTATGTGTCAACATACTGTTCACAAAAACTTGCTTTGATCCATGTAGTAAGTCGTTTTCTAGAATGATTTGATTAAAGTGCCTCTCTGATTTTGAAATCGAACTGACGTTGTTGTTGTTGTTTTTTCGGGGTTTTTGTTGCTGTTTAGTATAGTTAATTTCAATTTTGTGGACCCGACTTTTCGACTGCCATACTTTTATTTCTCTTCGCTTTTTTTTCTGGAGTTAAAAAAAAATATTACAAAGGGACAGAGAAGAACATACAAGAACTGTTTTATGTTTTTACCCTTGTTTATGCTAACTTCATACGTAAATAATCTTGATTGTCCATAATATCATCAATAATGTATTGGACGTTAAAACTGCAATAAACAAGATCGCAAGATTCATTTCAAGTCGTCACAGAGCTGTATATAGAGAATATTCTCTCCGTCCTTACATTTCCTTCTTTATTTGGACAGATTTTACCAAGTCATGTTACCTCGTTCCATAATTAAATTAATTAAATGTTTATATATTTACAGGTTATCATTGTTGGTGTTGATAATATTATCATCGATTATCATCTGTCTACAAATAAGGAATAACAGAAACACATCATTTACAAAAACATTTCCTAATCCAAAAGTTTCTGAAAATAAATCATACGGGACTCTTAATTAAGCAAAACCCAGCACTGTTTTAATGAATAGGATATTTACTAAATAGAAATCAGACGAGATCATATAGTGTGCAATAATGCCGACTGAAGCTTTGATTTATAATATTTATTTAACTTTTCTTGTCAGATGGGATATTTTTTCATTCATAACCCTACTTCGATCAGCCCTCTACTATATATTAAGATATATTGTTGATTATGACTTTAATGCAGTTTCGTCATTATCGACATATCTCCTATAAGCACTTTCTCTCAGACGTTGGATTTATGAAGTTTTATTAGTTAATTATGTTACAGGCACTATACATGATTATCATTGTTTAATAAAATATCATTATTATATAAGTTCAACTTTTAATGTTTTCAGTTCTGTAAATAGTTTCGGCTAATATGTAATATTTATATAGAAATATTTTGGATCTATGGATCATAAGATCGTATTACTGAATAAAGCATTATTATTATTATTATATAAAGCCCCGACCATTACTGTGTTACTATATTATACCGGAAGCTACTCGTGCCTACTCCTGTTCGCGTAAGTGTTGCACAGAATAATATAAAGTGATAACCATTGACTTCATATTGTGGGTGTGGGTGTGTGAGTGTGATGGTGAGTGTGTGTGTGTGTGGGGGGGGGGGGGGGTATGTTCGCCAATCACACTTCGTCGCGCGCTCCACCCCCACATAATATGTGCTGTCAAATTAACCACCATGACCACGTACATCGAATTTGGGCCTCAGCTGAATTTGGGCACCTGGCGAATTCGACCCTTGGCGAATTTTGAGCAGGCCGTACTGCGAATTTGGGCCCCTGCTAGTTTTTATTATAACGCTAGGCTCTTCGGGTTAACTTTCAGTTTATGTACATTTATCTTGTTTAAAAACAGGACATTATCTTAAATTAATCTTTATATCTGTTCTATGAGTACCAGACGATTAATGAACGACATTCTCACCACTCTCAGAAATGCCTGGCGCAATCAATCGGCTGTGTTTGGTCTCGGTACAAAGTTATTAAGTCTCCTCTGAATTTCATCCCAAAGCTGTCCAATCGGGTTTAAGTCCGGACTAAGGACTGGCCAGTGCATAACGTTGACACCGTTCTGCTGTAGAAAGTCCCGAGTAAATCTGGCGGCGTGGGCACGGGCGCTGTCATGGTGGAAAACGTACGAAATGTGGTATGACGTGGGGTCTGAGAGCTTGATCGATGTAGCGCACTGCTGTGATGCCGCCTCCTCTCCCTGGACCAGGATTTTGAAACACCATAGGACCCACTCTCAGGTTCAGGCCGATTCCACCTCAAACCATTTTGCTTGGACCTCATCATGTCGTTCCATGATACATTGGTCAGAATAACGCTGGCCATGTCGACCCCATATTCTGGTCCTGCCATCTGCAGTTGATACGAAATACCGACTCTCATCTGTGAACAGAACAGTTCTCCATTACCTGTGTCGCCAGTTCTCGTGTTATTGGGCAAACTGTAGAGGTTCACGTCGATGGCGAGGGGTGGGGATCGGTCCACGGTAAGGTCTACGGCAATGGATGTTCTCTCTGGTGAGACGTCGTCGCACTGTATCGGCACTGATGGGTCTTCCGTGTGTTCCCACTGTCTGACGTGCTGTCTCAGATGCCTGTGTGAAGGGATTCTGCACGTACTGTCGCACAACATGGCAGTCTTGTCGCCTTGTGGTAACCCTTGGTCTACCAGTTCGGCGGCGATCATCCGTAATGTTGGTGACCCAAAAGCGTTGCTAAAGCCTGTAGATGGCCGAACATTGACCTGGAAGTGATTGGCAACGGATTGGGCAGTTTGGCCAGCGTCGAGTCGCCCAAGCGCATGGTTCCTCTGAGCTCTCGTGACTCGTGGCATGCTGCTGACGTTGTAGTGTGAATGATTCAACCAGGTATGGGGGTGCCGTTTTATAGGGCTGGCCCCGGTGAACAACACGTGCAGCATCAGATACATGAAAATCATGGAGAACACATTACCATCTCAGAAGTCAGGTTGCGTGTTTGAGAACATTTCCTGTGTTTAGGAAGGAGCCTTATTGCTCATGTAAAGTTGGAGATGTGGTCACAAATATACAATAAAAACAGTTGGCAAGTTTTGTGCAATGTAAGACTTTTGCCAAAGTTTTTGCTTTGCTCTTTAAATTAAGGATAGCATTAATTAATATCTCTGGCAAGTTAGTAGATTCACATGAGTGACAGATTGTTACATAAAAAAGAGTCATAATGTGGTTAACATTCAATTCTAGGTTGGGAGGTTTCTCCAGTAAAGTTCCACTAACCATATAAGGTGGGTTTCGACGTCATTTGGCTCAATTAACCAATCTCTCTAATTATTTACATCATATTTGACCAATTAGATAATTGAAGGTCCAAAATCCAAAGCTACAAAACTATTATACTTGTGAGAATTCGCCAGACAGCAGCTTGATTTCAGAAGGGAAAAGATGTAGCAATTTCTATCAGCAGACTCGCTTCATGGAGACTGACTGGCTAGTGTTTGAGGATGACTTTAGTATTGTAATCTTTACTATGCTTGTTAGACCGGGAGCACAGGGGGCCAACCTAGCTGAAAAGTGTACCAATTTTTTCCTATATGTTATCAATGCATGTATATCTGGTATCATCAGAATGTAAGCCTGCCGGGTTTCCGGTGGTGGGTGTGGTATTCCACGCCTAAAATGCCATGCACCCCAATTAGGTTAGATTAGCTCAAAAGTGTACAACATGAAAATCGTACAGCAGTGTACCGTACATCTTCAGGTGTTACAAGAACACTCTAACAGACATTTCTAGAGGTGGGTTACCCCTGACAGAGCTATGTAATTGTCAGACATTTGTAGTGGTAGAGTATCCCTGACAAGAGTTATCTAGCCTAGTTGGGGGGCATGGCATTTTGGGTGTGGAATACCACACCCACCACCAGAAACCCGACAGACTTACATTCTGATGATACCAGATATACATGCATTGATACCATATAGGAGAAAATTGGTAGACTTTTCAGCTAGGTTAACCCTCTGGGCTCCCGCTCTATTTATCCGGCTATGATATATAAAATGTAAAAACGAACTGTTGTATTGTTATTACTGATAAGACAAACGTCTTAACTAACTGAGATAGACAAGAAGAAGTAAATACACAACGTGAAGGGGAAGCAAAGACAACAAGTGAAAATAGTAGACGATCACAGGGCTACTATACGATATGTAGTAAGAAAAGATGCATGGGTCATACGTAGGATGTGGCGACCGGATTTTGGTTTCCCCGCTCTCCACGTCTGACAAAAGAACCATGGTGCTACAGCAATACGTCTATTCAGAGTAACATATCAACCTGACGTTTCTTTTGCTGCTTAGTGTATATATATATGAACTATTTCTATGTTTTAATTTGATACTAATTATTGAAGTAAGGATCAATTATTTATTTAACTTTTCAGTGTTTTCATCTTCATTGTGTGGCGCTCTTTTCTGTTTTTGGCCACGGAACGGTGAAGCGGTTTGGTTGTATGGGAATTCTGCTGCAAATGTTGCAGTCCAGGAGTTAATGACAAAGGTTTGCCCCCCCCCCCCAATTTGTAGTTGGTAAAAATCAACTGGTCAGATCGGGCACTGCTGGTGCATATAGCCACAGCAGCACCTTAAAGTACCCCTCAAGGTTCCAAAAATTAAGTCATAAGTTACATGGCTGAAACCTTCTAGAAACAAAGGTATCCATAGCTGGAGTAAATATTTCACAAATCTAACCAAAATTTCCGGGGCTTTCCCCAAGTCAGACCACGCCCAATATCTCCTCACAGGGCTAATAATATGGTCATCGGTTACATGGCTGACAGTTAACAGAAACAAAGATCCATACTTGGAAAATATAATTTTCAAAAATCTAACCAAAAGTTAGATTGATATCAATATGGTTACGAAATTGAATGAGTGACTTTTCGCGAATGACGTCAGAATTATTGAAAGAAATGATCGTAAAAATGACTTAATATAGGAATAGTTGAAAACAAAAAGATCATTTAACATGTTTTGCTCTGAACACCTTGTGTCGCCCGAATACGACAACAATTTCGAGCTTGTTTCGTGTGCTAGTCTTGTAAAAATTTAAGAAATTAGTCATTGGCTCACCATGGAAAAGGCCCTCTATAGGCGATTTTCGTTTTTTGATATTTTTTATGCCTAATGGGTGTACTTTCCCAAGATAATGTTTAATACGCGTGTACTTTTTTATACCCTGCAGGCAACCCACCGGGGATGTGCAGTCTTGATAGCATTATACCAAAAATAACCTTCCGATTTCGACCCTTTTTTCACCAAGGTGGCATTTCGACTGATTTTTGAAGACATTTCCGTAAATATCCATGTTAAGGCGAACACATACACGTTTCGAATCATATATATCTTTATATGGGCTAATTATTTATTATTTAATTGTCTGTGTTCTTTTTAAACCAGAGAGTTATCCACTTCTGTACTTCCATTCGCAATATTTAGAATAACTGGGAAAACTTAACAGGTTTTTTTCTTTTCATATCCTATAAGGAATGTATGATTCCTCGCACAGTTTTTCGTCGTCTCTTTAGGCCAAGCCGAGATGGCGACAACAGTAAGACGTGTGACTGTGAGCTCCTAAATAACAAACTTATGTTATGAAACCAAGACTCAACTAACTCCTAAAATTCCAACAATATGTGGTGATTATGTTTGTTAATTGAAGATATCGAATTTTACGTGATATAAAACATTGATTTTATTTAAAAACATCTTAGTTTTATTGCATCAGAATTTTTTCATGGTTGACTGGTCCTTATGGGAAAACACACCAAACGTAAAAAGAGTTCAACATCAAGCAATTGGTCAAGTGACGAAAACTCATTGCTTGAATGTCTCAACCCAAATAAACCAGTCGGGAAGAAACAAAAATCTTTAGAAAGACACTCCGTGGAGATACCATCTAAAATGGCTACATCGGTTTCAAATGAAGAACTTATGGCCCAGTTGAAAACGATACAGTCTACAATCGAAGTGAAGATAGAAAATGTAAAACTTGACGTAATGAAAATAATCAGTGAAAAGGTTAATCAACTTGAAAAGGATTTGTACGAAATAAGGGAAGAAAACAAGAAACTGAAGGCGATAGTCGAAACTCAAGTGAAATCTCAAATTCTAGCTGCTGAAAGGATTGCCTCCGCAGCTTGTAGTAAGGTAAATAATTTAGAGCAGTGGACAAGGCGCTCAAGCGTTCGAATTTTTGGAATTCCAGACAAAATGAACGAAAATTATTCTGAGTCAATTCAGGAAGCTTTAAAAGTATTTTTGTCAATAGGTGTTAGCATGACGGA